CGTGCGTGCAGGAGGTGCACAGGTCAGCTTTTGCTTGGCTTTAAATCTGACAAGCGAAAAAGAATGAAGCTACCACTGTGGCCTGCATTCTGTGCATGACAAGGGTAAATTACAGTGGCGGGTCTTTTTTCGACAAGGTGGTGCTGCCAACACACTCCCTTCAGCGAGAGGGAGGTGCTGCAGCACACGGTTGAGGCGTGCTCCACAACAGCTAAGCCTGAAGGAGTGTACTTCGAAGTGCCCACTTTGTCCTATGAACGGCGCAAACGCTCAACAGCAGGCTTCCCGAGGTCGTGCAGTGCCCGGGCGAAACCTTGATGTGGTGCCGTTTGTGCACTATATACAAAGCTGGCAGGGCAGTGACCCACCCTCAGGAAGAACTAAGGTTCTCGCCTGAGAGGAAGTCGCAGGGCTTGTTACCCGATTCAGGCACTTGATGGGCTGTGAACAGCAACGAACGATGCTCCACCTGTAGCACGGACGAACTGGGAGGTTAAGCTCGTTCACCCTGGTTGCGCTGCTGCGCACCTCTTGGTTTGACTGGCCATGTTGGATCGTATCCCGGATTCGGGAGAAGGTTGATCCATGGCGGAATGACGAATCTGTAACACAGCTCAAAGGCCAATTGTTCAGCATAGGGCCCCCGCCAGGTAGTTCGCTTCCCTGGCATCAAGTTGAAACCTGTTAACAAGGTGCAATCAAGGAAGGCTCTGCTGGCAATGTATCGGAGTGTTGGTGGGACTTCAATCTCTCGAAGTATGGCGCAATCAACAAAGGCTTTCACATGTATGGTCTGTAGCGTCTTCGGAAGCCATACTGGGAAGGCACTCTGTGGCGAGACCGGTTTTTGCTAGGGCTTTTGGACCCCAAACTGGTGTCCAGAAAAATCACTTTTTTCGATCCCTTGAAGGAGCAAAAAGTTTGGAAAACCTATGAGGGTTGAGAATTGCTGGGGAGAAAGCGTTTGGCCTGCATGATGTTCTTGATCGAAAGCAATCAAGCTTACGGATCAATGGTCAGCTGCTTTTTTCGGCAGTCTGATTGCAGCCTTGCACGCTTGGTGCACGTTTGTCTGCTACAAAGCTTGCGGTGGACATCCGCCGTGAGTCGACCTAGCGCCCTAAGATCAAACGTTGTGAACCCATTCTTCGTATTTTGTGGTCTGTCTCAATTTTGGATTCTATTAAAATGCGCGGCGCCGCCTCGGTACCGCTTCGGCGCCGCTCGGGTCCTCTATTACAATGCGCGGTGCCGACACCCCGTTTGCGTTTTACAAAGTTTTAATTCGGTCGGAGTGATGAACTTCCAAGAAAACACAAAGACCAACAGAAACCCACAAAACACAACCTGCGAAAAACCAGAACCCCAAACGACCTCACAAGGCCCGAACCCAACAGCACCGCAAGCGTCCAGCGACCTTTTGCGCGACACACAACCAACGCAAGGTACTTTACAGCGCGTACATCTGCGCATGTCTATCTTCTTTAAACTCCATTGCTCCATCCTCTTGAAGGTGAGCCGAAAACAAGTTTGGTTCGTCCGAAAACGACGTTCGAACGATTCCAGCAAGGCGAACGAACCTATTGTGGATTCCATTGGACCCAAAAGTCACCCTAGTGACGTCCAACCCTTCTAATTCCATAAAGATCACTGAGATCTCTTTTGTGCCACCACTCTAGCACCCACCAGGAGGTTATGAACCTGAAAAGCAAACGAGGAAACACGATTTGTGTTTCCCCCCATCAGCAGGCAGTCACCTTTCATGCGTGGGAATGGCGTGGGGGGCCTTATCTGACGCGTGAAACACCAACACAAAACATGTCTGCGTGTGGCCCTCAGCAAAGTGTCTCGTTTGTGGTCTCTTCCTGTCTCTTCATCAGGCCGTCTCATCAAAGGGGCACAGGACAACACGCATGGAACGCGAGCTTGTGTGGGTACAAAAAGGACC